TACGCACACACACTAAAATACATTAAATCATTAGGCACCAGAAGACTTTCAAGAGACAAGCACAAATTCAAGGAAAAGTACGAAAAGTGAAGACCAGTAAGAAGGAAGCAAATTTTGTAAGCATTCCAATAGTGTCTGAAGATGAATGGGAGAGTGCATTGGTACATCTTCAACTGTTTGCTGACTGTTCACACAGACTAGTTGAAACACCTCAGGATCTTGGGACTCTCATCAGGCAGTTCTCCAAGGCTGTGGCAGAAGCTCCTTTCAAGTTAGTAGAATAGTTTTATCAGATGGTTAGACAAGGTGACATGCTATGCAACAAGCATTCCAGTGATAAAAAATATGATCCTTGATATGTCAAATATTTCCGAACCTGAAATGGATTTCATTCTATGTGAACCTTATCAAATTTAATGTTAAAAGCAGCAAAATTAACACAACACTGTTTACATGTGCAGACATAAAATGTTCACTTTGTTATGCAATTGTACTGCTCACTCAAAATGCTGATTTTTACTAAATTTTCAAACAAAAATTGTTTTGAAAAGTGCAGACTGACAAGCCAGGGTTTAATTATTTGCAGATACTTTTTTATGTCTAGGGCACACAGCTTTTGTGCTGGAGTGTGAAGCTAACCAGTTGCTAAGGTTAAGAATGTACACAGCTTTACATCCACATTCCCACACCTGCATGACATTTGCCGAAGTAGATGCAAACCATTACCTTAAACATTTTACTTTTTATTGTCATTACAAAAATACAGTTAATCAGGTCTTTGTATAATGATCTGGAATTAAATGAGAACTTTGCTTGGATGGGCTTTCTATGCATTATATGACAACCTAATTATTATAAGAATTAGGACAATTGCTATCTTTATTCCTAGGCGTGAGAAACATAAACAAGAACAAGAAGAGCTGGAGTGGTATGCAGCTGGAGAATCTCGTGACTGTGTTCGAGTAGATAAGAATGGAAATGGCCTCCCTAGACTGTGGCAGCAGCAGTTGTGTCAGTTTGATAGGGTTGGCATGGACACAGCACAGGCAATCACATCAATTTACAGATCACCTTGTGCTCTAATAGAGGTATTTAGTCTTCAATTAAGCATTTTATACACTGGGCTCATCTCTTATACAAGTCCTTTAGCTGTCTGCTGTTAGTTTAGTAACTAGACAAAATTGTTTTCTTGAATACCAACGGAGGTAATACCTAGTTGTAGTGAATGTCTATGACAGTTTGTAAATTGTCGGTTCCTCTGGCAAAATGTTTGCATGATGAACTAGACAACACTTCGATACAGGAGTTTCCAGTAGGCAAACCAATTGTTAGCTATTACAAAACACTGCAGAAACCAAACCTAACATTGACTTTGACACATGAAAAATCATAGATGTCAGTCTGAATGTCTATTCTTGTATCATTACTGAAGAAATTGATATGATCATAGAATATATCAACAAAGAAGATCGATTAACTTCTTGACAGAAATTTATCAGCTCCCACTCCTTATGACATTATCACTGATCTCATAACACCTCCCTTCCAGATACTTATCCACAGTATACTGATTCATACACTATTCTAGATATTAACCCTGAAGATGGCAGCTGCAATATTCACAAAAACGATGGACACAAACATGTGATCAGTTCACCCTAAAACCCAACAGTATGTATCATACTGCAGTCATGAAATCCTGAGATCAAGAGTAACAGAAGTGGAAAGGTATACTCTAAATTGGGAATATTCTCTTAGGTTATTCTGCACAGCCTAGTGTTGGCAATAATTACTGCAGATACAATAGTTACTAAGTTAATAGCACTAAGAATATCACACTTCAGAGATAACTTTTTTTTCTCTCTCTCCCCCAGAAGTGATTAAGTACAATTTATAGTCTTAAGGAGATCAGTATTTTGTGTCATATATGCACCGATATTTTTTACAATGACCATTTCTGAGAAAATTCTAGATGACAATTGAGATATGTATCACCAGAATCAGTTATCTTCTTCTTCTATGGCTCTCCGGTCCGTATTCGGTCCATGGCCTCCTCAATTCTCCTCTCCCATTCGGTCCTCTGTTAAGTCCGTCTGTCTGAGGCTCTGATTGCGGTTTTGAAACATCATCCTTTTTACGGTGCAAGGTTGTTAGCCTTGCGACCAACCCCCAACCTGGAGGACCAGGATACCTGTCTTAGTCTGACCTCTCCCCCTCGACCAATCTGGCTAGGGAGGCCCTACCAGTAGCTATGCTACTGCCAGCATAGCTAGAATCAATTATATAGTCAAATTTCATGATGGGTTTATAAAACGGGTTATGATCAACAGAGAGATTTAAAACACTGTTTTTAATGACACACACAAATTGGTCTTTTAATCCTGTAAAATTATTTTGAAATCCTTTGAGCTCCAAATAACCTAAATAAGGAATTTACAAATTAATTTAATCACAAACAAGTACAGCAGAGCATATGTCTGAAAGATCATGTGAACACTTGAAATTTTTCTAGTAGTTGCATAATGCAGATTTCCTTAAAAGAGACTTTTTGTCATTGAGAAGTATGATCACCAGAATTTGTGTCATATGATTATTTTAAATGTTTTCCGTGCATTTCTATAGGCATATGAGAAATGTTCAAGTGAGCACGAAGGAGAACACATGTTGGAAGATATCTTGGTAAGTAAATCAAAGCACCTTTACTAATAATTCTATTTACTGGATATGTTATTAACCACAGGTAATGCTCCAGACTTGTATTTAGTCAACGTCTTGCCTGGGCTTTCTGAGGTTCTTCATGATTTCCTCAGTTCCTACAATTAATTTCTAAGAAAGTAACTTTTAAAACATGCAATAACAGGCCTTTCCAAATCCTTATTTAATTACCATAGCTCTTGAGATCACTGAGGTACTCAAGCCCCACCACATGATCTGCCCATTTCAGTTGATACTATATAATATATATGCTTCGACCATTATTAAATAAGCAAAGGAAAATAAATAAATATAATGTTTGGCATGTTACCGTGAATTGTAAAATTGCTTGCATTTCAGACATTAAGCTGAACATTTTGAGTGTTTTGGGGGTGTTGGTGGGAGGGTGCAGAAACAAGTGGTGTCAAGGAATGGTGAAAGTATTCCAACATATTAGCAAACATGGGAGTTGCAGTTTCCAAAGTGTTAGAAAACTTTCTATAATTGATGAAATTGAATGCCACAGCTATGAAAAGCAATGGACAAGAATAGTTTTTTCAGCCACTGGAAATCTGAGCTTTTCAATTAAGCTTAATCTGTTTACATAATTCTTATGGAGGAGAGTACCAGACTTAAGATCTTAATGTTAGATGAATGGTATCAAAATGGCATGCCCTGAATTTACCGCACAATCACCCACCTACCAGAAGGTTAAATACAAATATAAAACTGTGTTGCAGTTGTGTGCCACATTTCAAGAGGGCTTGCATGTTTATTTATTACTGTTTCTTCTATTTGACTTATGCTGGAGAACATCATACACATAAATACCTTATCTATTTAAATGAGAATGATTTGTAATGATCTTCTACATTTATACTGAGGCATCAAGAAAGACAGACATATCAACAAAATGGCTGATAATCAGGAAACTAAATTCTTATGTCTATATTAGTTTTACAAATGTGCTTTATTCATATTCATTTGCCTGAATGTAAATGTTCCTATGTGTGACCTGGTATGACATATATCCCACATATTTACATTGTCAGGCCAGATACCTTTCATGCACATACATTGGTATGTCCTTCTAGCATGATGCCTCCAATGAAGACTACATAGTGTTGAAGCTAAAGGATGCTCTATTAAGGAATTCCATGATTTAATGAAGTAAGATCTGGGTAATCTCAATGGACACTTTTTCAGTGATTAAAATTGTCATGTATTTTGCAGATACGGCCTGAAGTGGGACCATTAACCACATCAAAGAAGGTTGGACCAGACATAAGTAAGAAAATGTATAAATTCTTCACTGCAACTGATGGGAATACAATATTGTCTTAGGATTGACACACAAACTACTTACCTGACATTTTAAAAGTGAATGTTTCTATGAAGCATACATGGCAAATACTGTTACAATCCTGATTCTGTATGTATACTGTTATACTTATATGCCGTTATTAACTCTAGATTTTCAATTCATATGTTCTCTTATAAATGTCATAAAACAGGATGGGTGAGGATCTTTAATATAAAATCCTGTCAAATTCAGTCTAGTTGTTCTTGAACTATGAGATGACAGCATAACAATTCCTTTCATTTAATTATCTTGAAATGTACTAGGCTTAAGGAAATAGTGTGTTAGGAATAAAATGTGTTTCATTTCTTGGCTTTTGTTATAAACATTTTTTGCTTATATATATTTAGTAGAGATATTCACAGAAATGTGCGTAGATCTTCATGGAATGTGTCCATCATCATGTGATTTTAACAAAAATTACAATATATCAATACATTTTAGCAAATTTCATCTTGATATATTACATTTGTTACATACAGTTGCTATGTTGTCACAAGAATAATCATAATCATTCACATACATGTCAGTCAGCTGGTCATGACTCCCAGTCTGTAGCGTTACGTACCGTTTTCATTTCCTTGTACTCCAGTTCATGATTACAGATAAGTATTTGACAGTACACAAAGAGTTCTAAACATCTGACCTAAATAGGACTGAAAGATGGTAGGATAATTGAAAAAGTCACCTACTATGGAAGAAAAATGATAAAGATGAGGGCATCTTCCTTGGCACCAGGTACCTCCATAGAATCATATTTAAGAAATCACACATTAAGCACAGTACATTTCTTGCATGCATCTTGGACTTCGTACCCTTGGTTATCCACCTACCATGTTCTTATCACAAGTATGACCAACACAAATTGAACAGGGGAAAAGAAAAAATGTCTTTACTTCAAATAAACACTTAATTATTTCTCATTAATCACCAAAAAAAATTGAAAAGTAAATTGTAAGCTCAATTTGTCAAGTGGCACTTACGCAACAAAGATTCATGTTCACAAAAGCCTGCCATCCTGAGCCAGCTGCATGGTTCCCAACCAACAACTTATATTTCTTACCCAACAGTTCCACCAACTTGCAAGGCATGAACACAACTTCATTTGATACAAGTATGCAAGATATTTAGATGACAGTATTGAAAAGGATGGAAGGTAAAAGAAATTGCAGCTGGAAATATTCCTGCCACAAGAGCTCAAACAACGGGTGAAAAGTAAGAATACTGGTACAGTGCTACCAACAGATCTAACAATCAGTTCAGCTGGTGGTATCAGCCTGTTTCTATCAGTCGCACTAGATGATAGCCTAACACTCACAGATCGTGCGTCTCAGAAATGGGCTCTGGAGCTCCCAGGTAAATGACCTACCACAATCTTGCATATGATTTAAAACATATTTTCACATTCGTGTGTGATCCTTCTTGTCTAAAGTTCAAATTCTGCCTGTGGCATGGATGTTATTTCTAGTCAATAAACATTTATCCTGCCATAACTAACCACCTTTGTACATTTTGAACAAGTAATAGAATTATACTTCCACTCTGCTGATAAATGTTCACATTCTAGTCAGATAAATATAGAAATAGGTGTTTTTCAGTTTTTGAACGCAAATAGAAATTGTATCCAGATATGTCATGGTCAGCCACCAACTCTAGCGGGAAATATGAACGAGAGATGACACTACGCATACTTGTTCCAAAGCAGAAGCAAACTTCCACCACGAGTTTCTCTGTCGACTATTGTTTGTATGTTTGTCACGAACATTCAGAATGCACCATACAAAACCTAGGCCTTGTTGGAACCGTTATATATGCTGAAGGTGCACAGGCCAAAGTTATGCACCATTTTACTCAAGTTATCAGACCATCTCAAACGCAATCTTCAAGCAATAGCAAACCATCATCCATGTATATGCTTCATTTTTTGTAACCACCCAAATTGTTTTTTGAAATCTCACCAAGTTTAACACCAGTTTTATTAACATGTGAATGTTATTTCAAACATGCATGAAATAAAGAATATCTGCCAAGCTGTATTATGTTGAAACTTAAAATTAAATATTTAAAAATGTACTGTAATAAGTCTTCTCAGCACCATTCTCAAACACCCCCCACCCACAATCTTTCTTTTGCCTGAGACAAAGATTCACACCTTAAAAACTCTTTAGCAATACCAACACTTTTATAGGGACTGGACACATGGGTGAGCAACTAAGTTAAGATATTCAAATGGATCAGATAAAATTCTGAATTGTAGTTCACCATTTGCCTTAGTTTGGCCTTGATAAAGGAAGCAGCAAGCACTTCTGAAACATCAAACTTCTAGACTACACAAAACATCCCACAAGTCATTTTCGTACTAAACAGGTTAAAAAACCAATAAAATTATTTTAATAATTAGTCTACAGCCATATTTAACTGCACCTGAAATAGGAAGGGGTGGACAAGAAAAAACCAAGCATCTTCCTCAGCACCAGGTCCTTCCATAGGAACAGGCATTTAGGAAATCACATTAACTACAGTACATTTCTTGCATCCATCTTGGACTTCTTACCCTTTGTTTTCCACCAGTTCTTTTCACAAGTATGACCAATAGAAATTGAACAGGGGAAATGAAAAAAAACGCAGCTAGTCAAATGGCACTTATGCGACAAAAAGATTCATGTTCACAAAAGCCTGCCAAACTCCATCCTGAGCCAGCTACATTCAGTTTGCTCCATTGATTCCCATCTACCTAGGGTCTCCTTCCTTCAAGGATCCCAACCAACACGTTATATTTCTTACCCAACAGTTCCACCAACTTGCAAGGCATTAACACAACTTAGCTTAAAAAAAACATTTGGTACAAGTATTTGAGAAATTTAAATGGCAGTAGAGAAAAGGATGGAAGGTAAAAGAAATTGCACAAAAAATATTGCTTTCAAAATGAACTCATTTTAATGCATAGGCAAGCACTGATGGGCAGGTTGCAACATTATTTGACGAACACAAAATTCTTACAATACCGACGACCCAAATTAACACTTGAGTAGAAATTTAGTACTCCTCTGCCCCCTCTCCTTCTCCTTCAACAGAATCCATGCCTACTTCCTCATAATCCTTCTCCAAGGCGGCGAGATCCTCGCGAGCTTCCGAGAACTCGCCTTCTTCCATACCCTCACCCACGTACCAGTGAACAAAGGCACGCTTGGCATACATGAGGTCAAACTTGTGGTCCAGGCGAGCCCAGGCCTCGGCAATGGCGGTCGTGTTTGACAACATGCACACCGCACGCTGTACCTTTGCCAGGTCCCCTCCTGGAACCACAGTTGGTGGTTGGTAGTTGATGCCAACCTTGAAGCCAGTTGGACACCAGTCCACGAACTGGATCGTGCGCTTCGTCTTTATGGTCGCTATGGCAGCGTTGACGTCCTTGGGAACAACGTCCCCTCTGTACAGCATGCAGCACGCCATGTACTTTCCATGTCTTGGGTCACATTTTACCATCTGGTTGGCAGGCTC